GTAAGACTTCCTCTTCTTTTTCTTGTTTTAGAATTTGTTTGAAAGTTTGTTGCTTTGGCATGAAACTCTTACGTTTTTTTGTAGGTCAATTACACGTAGGGATCTTCGTGATTTTAAAGATGATGGTTTTATTTGGTTGCCGAGCTTTGGCTTTTGATGTCTGCTGGTTGACCATCAATGATCTCCTTAATCGAGATATTGATACTATGGTAACTTTAATTGTTTCTTCGTCACTTGTATTTTTCTGGTTTATAATCTTAATATGTCAAAGTTGTATAATTAAGAAAAGTGGGAATTTGAAGGATCTAATATTAGGCAAAATGCACTTAATTTTCTGCTTATACACATTCTTGACATGTGCCAGCTCATTATTCCTGAGGTGTGATTATCTAGAGCATTTTGCACGCAGGTAGAGCGCACAAAGCTAAGACCGGTTGCAAGTGGTCTTTCGACACCATTTCAAGGGATTTGTTTTCTTGGGTTTCAACTGCTTTTGGGTCCTGGAATTCTCCTTCAACTTAATTGTTATAGGATAAAGTTCTTTCCTTTGCCATTGCTTTGCGTAAATCTTTTAAACAATTTGGACATCTGCAACTTTGCCAAAGAACCTTACATGACTATTATGCTTAACCATAGGAAGTCTGTTTTATATTATCCGAGTTATACTTTTGTTTTTTTCTCAATCTCTGAAAATTTGGTAAAATCATTCTAGCTGGTTGGTACAAGACTTTTGATTCATATAATTGATATTGCTTAACTATTTCTTACAGCCGTGTCTTGGGGGCTTCATCCTTGTTGCGAGTCTTTTCCTATCCTCTTATGAAGAGATTTACATTTTGGGTAATCATGTTTGTATAATTTTATTTTTTTTCTTTCATATGTTCACTATTTGTTTATTTGTTTACTTTTGATTCATCTGGTCCATTCAGCCCAAGCCTATCGAGGTTCGACCTTCAACTGGGAAGGATTAGGTTGGTCAGCCATTAAAGGAAGTCTAAATCCATCCATTGTGTTCCCGCTGTAATTTTCTGGAGTATTATGGACTGTTGTGTGTGATACAATATATGCACATCAGGTATAACTTCATCTATATATGGGTTAAAGACTTTGTTTTCCAAGATATTTTAGGAGCATGAAACAGTCGGATATATGATAGCTGCTTTCTTTGACGTTGATAGCCATTCATTCAGGATAAAGAGGATGATATTAAAGTTGGTATTAAATCTACAGCCTTGAGGTTTGGGGATTCAAATAAGTAGTGGACTGCTGGGTTTGGAATCCGGATGCACAAGTAGTCTTGCTCTCAGTGGATTCAATGTTGATATAAATATTTAAATTTGCTAATGATAACCTATTCTTTTGCCAAGTTTTCTAAATTACGTTTGAGCAGGGTGGCCATATTATGCATTTCTGGCAGCCGCATCTGGACAATTGGGTTGGCAGATATGGACTGTAAATCTCACTTGCCGTGCTGATTGCAATAGAAAGTGTGTAACAAGTTTAAGAAGTTAGTTTGGTTGCTGTGCTTGTCAAATTTAATCTAAGTTGCCTGCAGTTTTGGATCTTAAACTTGTTTTTACGCCTGCTGTGGAGAATCTGGAGATTTGGTTTTGCCCACATGTTCAGCTAATTGTCTTATTTCTTTTTGTCTCTCGTTTACAGGTTGTGTCCGACAAGTGGATTGGTGCCCTTATTTTCAGTGGGATTTTATTTGGAAGAGTCTTCCCTTTTCTTAAGAGTTAAAGAAGTGCTTGACCGCTGTGGTTTTTTGATGACCAGGTTAATACTAGTTGGTAAAGACCTTGTTGCCTTGAAGCTGGTATTATTAATGGTTTCAAATATATTTGTTGAATCTCAACTTTTTCCGAACCAGGTAAAAATTGTCTTCCCAAACTTTGAAACCACAGACAATTTTGGAGTGATTCAGAATTGGGAAATAAGTTGTGCTATTTTCAATGGGAAAAGGAAAGAAAATTAGGAATAAGGAAATTTGTTGAAAGTCACTCGTCAAAGTTCAATTTACTTTGATCTTCTTCATCATCATCTCTACTTTTTCCTTTTATTTACATTTGGTATTTTAAAGGAAAGAGAGATAGAGACATTGTGGTAACATACATGATACCTTGTAACAAACATTTTTCTGTTCTTTGTGACTATTACCGGTACTAATTATTGAAAAAAGAAATAACTTTCAAAAAAAAAAAATTGAAAACTGAAGGGCAATTTGGATTTTACCTAAGGGGGAGCAATTGCGGTACATACAAGTCCCTCCATCTTGGTCGCACTTATATATCGCTAAAAATAAGAGTAGGGGTCTAATTACATTGGTATAAATTTTATATATTTTTATTATTAGCTCAAAATTAAATTTATGATTAATTGTAACTAAAATAATATTTTTAATCTTGGTCATTTTGACATAAAAACAAAATTTAAGTGTAAGATTTACATTAATGGATCCCTTCTCATAAAACAATAATAATAATAATTATTATTATTATAAAATTGTTTAAGGAAGAAAAAAAAAGATTAAATTATTTAGGGAATTTGGATCATAATTTTCTCTTTTGAGGATATCAAATGGTATAGAAGAAGCACATAAAACGCACGTTTTGTTGACGATAAGGAGAATGAAGGCAATTATGAATAAAGAGAAATTAAAGCATGAATATTAGCAAAATGAGTAAATTTGTATATACAAGGAAATACACATTAGTAAACCAAATATTAATATTACCATAAACACTAAACAAGGGTCGAGATAATCTATTCTATCATTAATATTGAAAGACCCCATGATTTATTATTATATCTTAAACTTTGTTTTAAGAAATTCATTTTCTTGTCAAAGTCTTATTTTGTGCAGTTTAAATTAATATAATTTTTTTTATTAAAATTAAGATTATATTTTAGCATATTTATTGCATCAACTTGCTAAAACCTATTTTATAATTCAATTAGGTACCAATTTCCACGGACAACTGTATAGAACATTCCAATCAGTGGAATTTAGTTTACCAACTCTGTCAAAAAAATCATGAAAAGAAGATAATTAATTAATCAAGATGATATTTTTCCTGAATTTATTAGATTCTAATTTCATCCTCATCATGGCTTAATACATATTCAGATTCATATATTCATTTTAATACTATAATTCCCATTAATAAATAGTACTACTAATATGTTACGGCTAAATTGCTTTCAAAATTGTTTTACAATGATATTAATTATCAACCAACCAAAAAAGATACAAAGCAAACCAAATCCTTAATCCAATACAAAATAGACAAAACTTACCTTAAGTTTTTTAGATGAAATTTGTAAAATTTTTAAAAAAAATGATTTAATAAAAATTTTAATAAAAAATCTAAACTTACATATTGATAGAATTTAATGTGAAAATCAATAATATATAAAAAAATAATAAAAATATTATTAATAATTCAAATTTGATCAATATTTATTTAATGATAAAAATTTTATTAGCATTTTTATTAAAAATATCTACCTAAAAATATTTTTCAAAATTTATTAAAATTTTTTCAAATTTTACACACTTAATATATATAACAAGATTTTTCAATATATCGATTTTGATTTTTAATTTTAGTTTTAATTTGATGAACTTTACTTAAGAAATTTCATTTAAGTTTGTCTCATATAAAATTGGTTAAAAGATCAGAAGCATTGAAACAATAAATAAAACATAGTTTCAATGTTAGAGTTCAAATCTTTTAAATAAATAAATAAATATATATATAAATAAAACAAAACGAGGTTATTAAAATAAAAAAATAATTTTCAACAGGAAAATTCATACCATAAAAAGTTCTAATAGATATAATGTATCGTAATTTCAAGTGAAGATTAATTTATACTAGTCACGATATTAAGTAGTATAATTGTTGGACTCAAACTTTTAAGAATAATAAATATTATATATTATTTAGATAATGATGTAGGTAAATAGTATAAAACTTGTTGGATTGAAATTTTTAAATTTAATATTGATATATAGGGTTAATTATTATTTTATTTAATAATAAAAAATATATAAATTCATATATCTAGCCTCAATTTCACCATAAAATAATAAAAAGCTAAAATAATTAATATAAAAAAATAAAAAATAGAAATGTGAAGCTAATTACAAAAGTTGATTAGCCTAACATAATAATTTGTTGTATATATATTTTATGAAATAATAATTTGTTGTATATTAATAAAGTTAAGTAGTATTAAACCTGTGGGATAGAAACTTCTAATTTTAATATTGACATATAAATTTAATTATTGTCTGAATTTCTTAAAAATAAAAAAAAGGTTGAAATAGATCCTAAAGTGAGTATATCCAATATTCTAAAATAACCATTAATAAACCAAACTAATAATATTATAAAGTAAAAATAGCTTTTAGTTATTTAATGTATTAAATCAGTGTTATATTTAAGAAAAAATGCCATTAATATTATATTTTTTCCTTTCAACTTTTTTTTTCTAACTTGTCAATTGAAAATAATTGCAATATCGCTTTTTATAAAATATGAATAAAACATATACTAAACATTTAAGTTTCAATAGCATATTAAACAATTTTTATATTAATATTTAAAATTTTCAAAACTAAAATTTTAATAATTAATTTTTTAATATTTAATTTGTTCAATTTATCAAATAATAATAAATAAATTTTTTACAACTACTCTGATGAAAATTAAAGTCAAATGCATCCCCTTTTTGTTTAAAAAAAAGTTTAGTTTGAGTTGAAATCTCCGACGTAAAGAGGACAACTAATAAGAAATTATTTTGAGGAGAAGAATTTCGTCTACTAGTTGGACTACCTCGGAATACAATGGACGTAGGTAGGAAATAAAGTCCACATTGAATTCAGATTCTTTTCCAAATTGGTAGCGCCATCCTGTAACTGTTGCACTATGGACTCTCTTAGCCTTTGGATCACTGTATGTAGTCACACATAGCTGGATTTTACTAATTCGGTTCCTTGGCAAGACATTTAAACTTGGGAAATCTCGGTTCCTTGGCAGGACATTTAAAGACTTGGGATCTCTTGGGATTTTCGAACTAATTCATTTCTTTGGCAGGACATTTAAAGGCAGGCTTGGGATCTCTCGGGATTTTCGAACTAATTCGGTTCTTTGGCAGGACATTTAAAGACTTGGGATCTCTTGGGATTATTCCAAAGGAGAGGGAGTGTGTTTGTTTTACCATGGAGAGATCAAGAGAGCATGATGAAGAAGAAGAGTGGGAGAGATCAACAGCCGCAGTCCGTCATGAAACAACTGACAAAATCTCTGACAAAATCTTAGTGGAGGATGCTTTCAAGACTTCGGAAGTGCCTTCATGGACCAAGCAAATAACGTTGAGGGCTATGGTGACTAGCCTTATTCTGAGTCTGGTCTTTAACTTCATTGTTTGCAAGCTTAATCTCACCACTGGTGTGATTCCGTCTCTCAACGTTGCTGCTGGTTTGTTGGGTTTCGCCCTCGTCAAAGCATGGACCACCATTCTTGCAAAGGTTGGATTCCTAAAGCAGCCCTTCACCAGGCAAGAGAATACTGTCATCCAAACATGTGTGGTCGCCTCCTCCGGAATTGCCTTCAGCAGTACGTGTTTAAAGGCTCCACTTTTGTCATTGTTTTTCTGTTCTTCTTTATTCAGTTTTCTTTATATCTATTTCTCGTAATATTTTATGCTATAATCTACAAATCATGTGTTAAAACTTGAAGAAAATCTGGAAATCAATTTGGTCTTTTTTCTTTTTAATATCAGGTGGCACTGCAAGCTACTTGTTGGGAATGAGCCCGCTCATAGCTGGTCAAGGAGAGAGTGGAAATACGCCAGCGAATGTCAAGAAACTATCCATTGGTTGGATGATGGGATTTCTCTTTGTCGTCAGCTTTGTTGGCTTGTTCTCTATTGTGCCCCTCAGAAAGGTTATTTCTCTACTTTCTTAATTTATTCAATTCTTAAAATATTTTCTTCTATTATAAAATACATATTCTTTCACATTCTAATTCAAGAAGATTAAAGACACAAAAATTTTTATTAAAACTTTCAACCAAACTGTTCTTTCCAGATAATGATCCTGAAATACAAGTTAACATACCCTAGTGGGACGGCAACTGCATACCTAATCAACAGTTTCCACACTCCCAAAGGTGCCAAGTTAGCAAAGTGAGTATATTTGGTCACACCATTCTAAACCCTTTATTTTACCATCCTTTTAATTTAGGCTGGGGATGCCTAGTCTTTTTTTTTTTTTTTTTTAGTAGAAGAGTTGTAGGTGTTGAGATTTGAATATCAATATCACCTCTTAAAATAATTATATGAATTAAGTGAGTTAAGCTCCGGATTTAGGATGCCTAGTTTCAACATTACAGACATTGTTTCTGGCTCTATTGTGTGATTCTTATACTTTGTACTTATTTTCATGTTTGTAATTTGTCTAAAATTTTCTTCCTAGCTAATTGTTTCTTTGATTATTAATGACGTTTGTAGGAAACAAGTTGCGGTTCTCTTCAAAAGCTTTATCTTTAGCTTTGCATTCTCCTGTTTTCAATGGTTTTACACTGCTGTTGATGGCTGCGGATTTTCTAACTTCCCCACTTTTGGTCTTCAAGCATTCGACAAAAGGTATAGGTCTTTCTGATTCAACTTCTATGTGATGCTAGTAGGTGGTATGACTTAAACAAAGACAACACATGATAGTGTCCGATTTGCAAAACGAGACTAAAAATAAATTTCAGTAAACATGAAATTTGTTTTTGTTCTTGAATTTGATGACAATTTATCGACTAAAAATATTGATTAAATGATCATTTTCGTCGTCACATAGGTTCTACTTTGATTTCTCATCAACATATGTTGGTGTCGGGATGATTTGCCCTTATATGGTGAATGTGTCTTTGCTTATTGGAGCCATCATCTCGTGGGGAATCATGTGGCCCATGATTGAAAGCAAGAGAGGCATCTGGTATAGTGCTGATCTTAGTCCAAGCAGTCTCCATGGCATCCAAGGATACAGGGTATTTGCTTCTGTTATGCATTTTTCAATCAACACATCCCCAATCCTCCTCACACTTCTTATTTATGTATACTTTGCCTGATCTGAATCTGAATCTGATTTATTCTACTAGGCTATTAATCACTAATAATTTTTCAAAATTTGGTTGGTCTTGACAGGTTTTTATTGCTATTGCTATGATGCTCGGAGATGGGCTTTACCATGTGCTCTTCATGCTAGTCAAAACCATAGTCAGCCTCATAGCCAACAACTCTAGCAAGAAGGACTCGTCTATTGTTACCCCTGGTGTTACTGATCAGGATGCTCAGATTGCAAATTATGATGAGCACAGACGGACCGAATTCTTCTTAAAAGATCAGATTCCAAATAAGGTAGCAATTTCTGGCTACATTATCCTGGCGATCATATCCATCATTGCAGTTCCCTTCATCTTCCATCAACTAAAATGGTATCACATTCTTGTTACTTACGCCATTGCCCCAGTATTGGCCTTTTGTAATGCCTATGGTTGTGGTCTCACGGATTGGTCTCTAGCCTCCAACTATGGGAAATTGGCCATCATCATTTTCAGTTCATGGGTTGGCCTTGAACATGGTGGTGTCATTGCTGGTCTTGCATCTTGTGGTGTGATGATGAGTATTGTTTCCACAGCATCTGATCTCATGCAAGACTTCAAAACAGGATACCTTACCCTTTCATCTCCTCGCTCTATGTTTTTCAGCCAAGTAATTGGAACAGCAATGGGTTGTTTCTTGACACCATTGGTCTTTTGGTTTTTCTACAAGGCTTACCCAATTGGTGACCCCACTGGCACCTATCCAGCACCCTATGGTCTCTTATATCGTGGAATTGCACTTCTTGGAGTTGAGGGCATCTCTTCCCTTCCCAAGAATTGTCTGAATCTTGTTATAGGATTCTTCTTTGCTGGATTTGTCATAAACTTGGTTCAAGAGTTGTTGAAGCGTAAAGAGACCAGGTTTCATATTCATAGGTTTATTCCTAGTCCAATGTGCATGGCCATCCCATTCTACCTCGGTGGATACTTTGCAATAGACATGTGCGTCGGGAGTTTGATTCTCTTCATGTGGGAGAGGAGGAACAAGCAGAGGGCCACTGACTTTGCACCTGCTGTGGCATCCGGCCTCATCTGTGGCGAATCTTTGTGGAGTGTCCCAGCTGCTATTCTAGCTCTGTTTAATGTCAGCCCTCCTATTTGCATGAAGTTTCTCTCTGCTAGTGTCAATACCAAGGTCGACAACTTCTTGGAAGGAAGCTAAGCCCCCCTGTTTCTATTGTATTGGATCCACATTAAAAAGTGTTACGTACATAAGCTGCAGCAGCAGAAGGCAGCTATTCCATCAGGATTTTCTAGGATTTATAAGGTTCGCAGAAGAATTAAACTGATGTCTTAGAAATTTGCTGTTTGCGGGTTGTGAGCATGTTATTTCTGTGTCTTGTTGGAGTTTGACAGTTTGCTGTTATTTCTCAGTTTGCATAGGTCCTTGTCTACCACTCTTTCATTGTTTTACACAGCGTGGTCTGTCACTTAGTTAACTTTTTATTGCGAAAGCTTAAATATCAATGTGATAATCCATTTGGGTAATTTCTAATTTTTCTGAAGTTAAAGATCTCATGGTATATTACAATTAAAAGTAAAAAAAATAATAGTTGGTACATCCCAATCTTTATTTGAAACTTCCACATAAACGAAAACAGTTAATATATTCGAGTATCATGCCTCAGCACAATTTTGATTTACATTTATGCATAAATCAAAATGATGAACTAACAGATATTAGGGGAGAAAACTAAAATAATTGAGAAAATAATTGGAAGAATAAGATTTATTAATGTAGAAACTTCATTTTGGTTATTAATATTTTATTTTTTAAAATTTTTTTTAAGTTATTAATGTTCAGAATAAATCAGAATAGGTAATAAGATTATTTTAGTGAAGATTATTTTACAAAACAATTTTTTTTATAGAAAAATTGTTTACGGAACACCTATTCAAGGAACAACTGATTCATAGAATAACATCTTCATGGAACATCTATTTTTGGAACAATTTCCTCAAGAAACAACACCAACACCTTTATCGAAAACTCTTTCATTAAAAGTTGCTTCACTAAGAGTTATTACACAAAAGATGCTTCACCTAATGTTACTTCACCGAAAGAAAAAATGAAAATAACCTTAGAATATGACAAGGTTTTTAGGTTAACTCTATTATTGGATGTTCCAGAAAGCTTGATTTGATGGATCGGATATTAAGATAATTAAGAGGTTTTCTTTTAAAATTTTTCTTAAATATAATTATTTTTCATTTTCCTTTAAAACAAATGATGAACTTCTATATTCACTATGTCTATTACCAAAGAGCTAATTAAACTTTTATTAAACAATACATTAATACCTTTCGTAACGGTTAATTTTTTCATTATTCACCATTATTTATATTCAATAGTCAATATATGTAATTCTTATTCTTAAAACCTATAAAATAGGAGTTTCCACAATTTATTGAGTACTTTTGGAGACTTTGGCAAATTTATTGAATTCTCTTTGCAATTCTCTCTTCCTAAATTATTTTTTCAGTCTTATTTTTTTCCTAGTCAACTAGCTTCAAACACTTACCACCACTTGCCATTGCACTCAATATTTTAGAGTCTACTTAAATCTTCCTTTTTATCATCTCCTAGCTCATTATGTTCTACTTGTTTACAACGCTTTCTTACCTTAATGAAAAACTTCTTTACATTTTGACAACTTTACTAGGGAAGAGTGATTGTATTAAGCAAAACAACTTTTGATCTTGCTTTTTTAAAAAAAATAAAAGATTCTATTGGAAGCCAAAATGCGCAGACCCTACTTACATCGAAGAACTGATGAAGATAATTCAAACTTCCCAAAAGAGAATGCAAAAATTGGAAGAGACTATCTCCCAACTTACATCTTTCAATGCCACAAACTCTTAAGCTTAAATTGCTACAAATAGGAATGAAAACACTTCTAATAGAGTTATTTTTCTTGTGAATGGTAATGGGAAAAATATTTCAAATGTGCCTAATCTTGGTGTTAATGAAAATCTTGGGGTGAACAACACCTTAGCTACTAGTACTTCTACTGTAACTTTTCCTCTGACTACAACTCAAGACTTTGTCACAAAAAAAGAACTTTAGAAGTTGCTTAAAGGGAAAAACAAGAGTTTGAACTTTTTTGAATTTGATTTTAAGCTATCTTATCTTGCTAGAGTGGTAGCTAAGCCATATCCTAAAGATTAGTACTAGTCTTAAGTTTAAGCAATTCAATGGTAAGACTAGAAATGCTTGTAAGCATGTAATGAAATTTGTGAAACTCTTGGAGTAGTTGGATTGGATGATGATTTGAAACTAAAGGAATTTTTCAAGTCTTTTACTAAAAAGATGTATACTTGATATGTTAATCTTACACTTGGCTTTATTAAATCTTGGAGTCGTATGTGTAGAATGTTTGAAGAAAAAAATTTTCTACCTAAGAAATAGTTACTTTGATTGACTTGAAAAGAGAACATCTAGAAGATCTCATGGAATATATCCAACACTTCAAGGAAAGAGTGTTGGACATTCAAGATTCTCATGATAAGAAAAAGTTGGTGAAAGTATATATCCAATGAATGTTTGATGAGTATAAGTGCACTTGAAGAATTTTCCTCTTCCAACTTTCGCTACTTTGGTTAAAGTTGTAAGAAGAACCAACAATATGGTTCTTAGGCAATGAGGAGTTAATCATTTCACTAGAAGGAATGCTCCTATACTAAATGCAATTCAAGAAAAAGTAAGTGAAAAAAAAAAGACCTTCTTACCCTAATATACATTATAAAAGAGATAATCAAAGAAGAAGACAAGATGATGATATTAACTCTCCACCATTTTCAATTCAATGGATGGAGTGAAAGTGTTACTTCAAGAATGGATTAAAGATGGAAATGTGAATCTACCTTATTTTTCATGACTACCAAAAGCAGAAGAAAAGTCCAACCTAAGGTATTATGACAATCACTAAATGGTTAGTCATTCATTTACTGAATGTAAAGATTTTTGTAAAATATTTCATCAAAGGATACAAGCAAGAGAAGTGTTGATTGGAAACAACAAAGTTTAGAATAATCCACTTCTAACCCATTAAAATATTCGGGGCATGTGAATGCAATAATTCATGCTAATTATGATGATTTTTCTTTTTCTTTGAGAGTTTGATATATCAGTTGTTCAATCGAAAGCTATCAAGTCTCAAGCACTTTTAGATTTGTTAGTCCATTTTTCATCCAACAACATTAAGAATGAGGTACATTTTTCATAAAAGACATTATGAATTTTTTCTTCCTCTTCAGACAATTCAATAGTACAAATATTGTGCCCCTAAGACAAGGAAGTTCAAAAAAAATACATACATCTTCAAGAGTAAAAGTGAACTTTCCCTAAATAATAATTATAGTATGAGAAAAAAATACTCTATCTAGCATGAATAGCATGCCATACATCCATTCTACATTCCTTATGAATATGAAGTTTGGAGGTGACTTGTACAGCATCAAACACTTATGCATAAGCAAACTTTTCAATTACTTTGTTACCTAATTTTCCCAACCTCGAACAGACTATGAACTTGAGCCAAACTTAGTAATAGAAAATGAGAATCTCCACGCTCAAACTTAAACTTCAGAATAGAATAACTCGGAATATAAACCCTATAGCTTCATCTTTCAGAACCAATACTTTGTCAAGAATAGCCAATAAGGGGACCTTGATAAGAAAAAATTCTTCTCTCATGCACTTGTTCCCAAAAATAGTATTTTCCTCCTTTTCTAATAATTTTATCTAACCAATCTTCAGGAACAGAAGGAAGTACACAATTCTTTTCAATACGAAGACATATTTTCTTTTTAAGATGTGCTTTTAGAATATAATCTTTTGGAATATTATTTTTTCTCTTCCTCGTAAGAGATCAAGCAATACAAAAAGGTTGGCTATAATTGATTCTCGGCATTAAGAATGAAGAATACCTACAAGAAATCAATAATAAAAATTAGATAAGGTTGTTTCTTTTTCTTTCTTTTTTATTTGTCTTTAAAAATTTAAGAAGTCAAAAAGCTTAAAAAAAATCAAATATATACTAAAAAAAAAAGTTGCACTAGAAGTTGCTATACAAAAAATGACCCATGCAAAAGGTATTCATGCATGTAGTTAATACCCCGCACCCAAGGCATTCTTACAAAGGAAATATCTAGCCAAGTTAATTAGTTTTACTATGACAATGAATCTTGTGTTTCATATAAAACAAAACAACATGCATTTCTCATTATTTTCAATTTTAAAAAAAGTAAAAAACTAATTTAGCAATAAATGTTTTTTATTTTCGATATAAATGTTTGTCATTTTCTTGACAACATTAATAAATGTTTTCTTATTTATGCTTAAAACATTTAACGATTCTCACTCAAATCACCATTCTTTATTATTAAAATTGATCTAGCAAATTTTTGTAGAAATAATAATAATAATAAGTTATAGATATGAGATCCTATTGTTATAAATACAAAAATTAGCTTATTACAAATACAACAAAGTATTTCTTATTAAAATTTTTTTTGAAGTTACTATGATTTTTTTAAAGAAGAAAGGACAGTGCCTACTCCCATTAAACTTGAAAAACTTCTTAAAAATAATAATAAAAAAAAAAGAATCTACATATAGCTCAAAATTGTAGAGGAACTAAACTTTAACTTAACTTTGAATTGAAAATTCTCTCAATATAAATCTTGTATTTATAAGGTAAAGAGAATTAATTTCTTTAATAACAAATATTTATTTTTCTTATTCTAAAAAATCTTTAATAAATCTCAAAGTCCTTAATTTTATTTTTAAATTTCATCAGATTTTATTCTTAAAAGATTTTAATGCTCTTGATATGCTATACAAGTATCTACTATATTGCAATTATTTTTTTTTATTGATTTGGCTAAGATAGAACACTATTGAAGGGCACAGCTGCATGCTATTTACTAGATTGTGCTTCTAGATCTCTTAACTCATTTCTTGATAAGCATAAGTAATCTATTTACAATTGCCAAAGCTTTTTGGTTCATTTCAGATTTTATAATGTCCAAGTATTTTGCTTTTCTCTCTTTGTCTCACGTTCTCAAATATAATGCATTGGGGGCAACAAATAGGAAACACTTGACTCGTGTTATTATCAGTGCAATTTTCTTGTTACTTTCCCCAAATAATCAAAAAGAGACATCAAACAACTTTAGTGATTTTTAGCATTGATGGATTCTACAAAAACACATCATAAGGTGAAAAACTTCAATCAAGCTGAGGTTTGAGTTGCTCCATAGGATGCAAATAACCTTGTTGAGTCACATATGTCATTCAAATTGTAACCTTTAGAAACTTGCAGTAACATTTATACTTCAATTTATGGGACAAGCTCATCACAAGGTTTTACTACTGTCACATTTCAAAAATCTTTTCTATATTCTCGCAGATATAAGAATTACTTTGCAATAACTAAGCCTAAAAGTAGCAAAGCAAGCAAGATTGAAATTTTTTTCA